AGAGGGTCATTTCTTTCAACCACAGTGCGTAACACTTAGTGATTGGATGTGTTTCTCAGAAAAGAACATGTAGTGAGATAGGGCAGAGGCATCCATGGCTGGTGTCTGGAACTCTGTGGCTTTAAACCAAACTCCCCCATCATCCTTTTATCTCCGACTTTTTTGAAAGAGTTTACATGTATAAGAAAGTCACAGCACCAAAAACCTGTCATGATGTTGCAGTATTTCAGAAGCTTTAATGAAGCACTGTGTGGTGGAAGGGGTTCCTCTGCAGATCCAGCTTGAGACATAGCTCATGCTATAGGCTGAGTTGTCCTCCCATGGTGGAACATCCTATCAACAGACCATACTGCACAAATTGTGCTTTCAAAAACCAATGAGTCTGTTGCCACTGCAGCAAGGAAAATAATAGATGCTGTTTCCTGTCTTATTTAAGAAAATWAGGAAAATGTCTGTCTCTTCTTACCATTGCTGTTCTTTTCTTTAACACAAAGACCTATAACTAGCCTAGATTTCCATCCCATTCTATTGCTTGATTAACCATGAACCCCATCATATCAGGATCTATTTAAGATTGGAGAACATAATTTTCTGCTCATGCCATACCCTCTCTTTCTTGGCAAAGAATAGTCGAGGGTAGGTGACTGCACTTTATGCCAGCATCCTCATCATTGACTGTGTAATTGTCTCCTCCTGGGGTGTTGCCTCTGCCCGCTGGACCTCTGCTTTCATTCCTTGTGGTTGTGCAGCCACTAACCTCACATCATGAGTCAGGCAACACAGGTTAGGATCAGAAAAGAGATAGTCTGGGGTTTGTGTGCTGCCAGCCAGGCTTAGGCTTCACCCTTGGAACGATAACCACCATCTGCTCTAATCATGTAGACTTACTGCAGCTTGGTTTCTCTGTTACAATAAAATTACTGTAGATCCAACCACCGTCTACCTTTTTCTTTAATGGGAGGAAGGGGTAGATGTCAGTTTGTATTCTAGAAGTTTAGTCACATCCAGCTGACRGTAAGCCAGAGATGTGTTAGTGGTCCCAAATGATGACTCAAAAGTACATCCTTTTCTTCATCATGCCATTGAGGTAAGCCAGCCCAAARATGTCGAGAATGTGGGTGTAATTCCTTGGACCTTGTAAGACAGGTGGAGMCACACAGTGGATCCTATAGAGACAGGCAAGGGATGGAGGGGAGATGGCAGCTTCAGATGTCTTGGGGGCCAAGGAGATTATTATAAATAAAAATCAAAAGCTGGGTGGAAGATGATGGTTGGTAATCAGCCCTCATCCACAGAGGGAGGTGACAGCCGTGAAAATGAAAGCACTCAGTTGTAGGTCCTAAATTTTAAAGGAAAAAATGGAAAAAGAATTTTTTTGGAAGGTCTATTGGTGCTTGAAAATTGGCAATGAAAAAAAAAAAAGCATATAATTCAGTGTTTTAAAAGTAATTTGTAAGCAAGGTGCAAACAGTAGATGGCCAATCTGCAAGCTCTGGTGTCGGCACCTGCTTGGCATCAGTCCTGCCTATCGCTATTGTGTCCACTTGTGCTTAGCGCCAGAGGCCATTCAGGATGGGTCAGAGAAGCAATGGAGCAGGGTTCAGTCAGGCCCAGCAGCCATCTGTCAAGTTCTGACAGTTGCTGGGTAGGGAACGCAGGCTCAGCATGTGTTTTTCCCTTGCTTCACATTCCTGAGGGACAGTGCAACAGGCAGAGTCACTCCTGGCCCTTTGCTCCTCTGGGTTCCTATTGCTGATAAGTGCACTTGATAGGTGCACGGGGTGGTGAAGGCAGAAGTGAACAGACTGACTCACTTGATATCTTTTCAAAAGTATCTTAAAAGAGAAAATTAAATAAATGTATTAGCCACTCTGGAAAAGGAATACCTGCCTAGATTAGGTGAAAGTCGCTTTAAATTCTCCCTGTCTGGAGCAAGAATGGCTGAAAGTTGGGTGCCAAGACCTCAACTAACTGGAAAAGAACTTCACAACCCTACTAATCTAGTTTTAAATATAAGGGTCGTCAGCTCACTCTGCACTGAGCCCCATTCCTCATAAGGTGTATGAACCCTGATGATTTTCTCAAAAGTTCAGGCCATTTACCTACAACCCTTTTCTAGTTTCCTAGTCCAGGTCTAAATTGTCTAATGTTCTCCAACCTAATGGAGTGGGGTAGTTTGCCTGCTCAGAAAGAATAGCCATGCTTTTTATGATAATTTAAGGTAGACTAGTTCCCACATTGAGATTGTTCATTAAAAATATTTGTTGTGGCCAGGTGCACACCTAAACTAGCAGCAGCTAGCTGGGGAAACTGGGCAGGAGGATTGCAAGTTCGAGGCCAGCCTCAGCAACTTAGTGAGATCCTGAATCAGAATACAAAGAGCTAGGGATTTAGCTGAGTGACAAAGAGCCTCTGGGTTCAATTATTTTCCCCAGTCTACAAGGTGATAACCAATTTTACTTATAAATTTTGATGCAAACATTCTAAGTAAAATATCAATTCCATGAATATATAAAAAGAATAACAAAAATAGGTTTATTATATCATCAATATAATTCAATACATTACAAATAGGCACTCCTTTGAAATTGTTATTTTTGTCCCCTTTTGCATTTCCAGATGGGTTCAGTCATACACACACACACACACACACACACACACACATATACATATATATATACATATACATAAAATTTGCAGCAGTGCTGGGGAATAAACCCAGGGCCTTATACATGCTGGCCAAGTACTTAACCACTGAGCTATACCTCCAACCCTTATTTATTTATTTTTTAATCTTTCTAGAGCTGGAGATGTAGCTCAGGGGTAGAGTACTTGCCTGGCACA